ATTTTCAAAAGACTCCTCAGTGCACACCTATATCATTATCATACCATGATGTAAATCGAATTTCCATAATGAGTGATAAAATGCATTTATCAAATACCCTTTCACCGAAAGCTATTGGCAATTGTATTTTGTTACAATTTTGGTTAATAGTTCGACTAAAACACTATTTTTATCAAGTCTTTGTTGATTTGATGGCACCGCCACGATGGGCAAAAAACGCCTCCGATCAATGAATAACAAAAAAGCCGCAATGAGCAAGTGAATGTGACAACGCTATTGACCTCATCATTCACCTCTCACCGCTCGATAGCGCTCGCACGCTCACATAGTCCAAAGAACACGCTTGCACGTGTGCCACTGCACGACCCACCGTCGCGCCATGCACGTGCCACGTGCCTCTCGTCTCCGCCGCCACCGCCGCCGCCGCCACCGCCGCCGCCGCAGTCCGAGCTCTGTGACACACCACCGGAGGGCTGCGTTCCTCCATGTGACCCTGTCCCACCGCGGCGGCCACACTCATTAAATGCAAATGGGAAAATCGTAAATAATTGTCGCCGGCCGGGTTTGATGCGGTCCAGGACGGACATGTGTCAAATTATTCAATTTATCTGGGATTTGGCCGGCGGCGGAGCGTATTCAAATCACGTCGGCTCAATTAAATAGTCGCGCCCCGGTGACGCGACAGTGTCGCGCGACTGATTGTGTCGCCGGCGACACCCGGAATGTGGACAGACACCAAGCCGGTTTTTGTTCGGAGGGTGCTAAACGCAGTCCATTGTGCAGCAGTTAGCGCGCTATCAAGCCTTTGACTCGACGATGATCTGCCGCCGGAAACGCCAGTTGAGTGTTTGCTTGGTGCAGGGGTTCATTTATGAGTCGAGAGGGTGCCTGTGTGTGGCAACACAGATTCGGGATGTGCCAGCATAGATTCGGTGTATGTATAGCAGCAGAGAATCAGTGTGTGCCAACAGAGATTCGGTATGTGTCAGCAGAGATTCTGTGTATGCCAGCAGAGACTCGGACCAGCAGAGACTTGGTATGGTCTAGAGATTCAGTGTGTGCGACAGCGGAGATTCGGACCAGCAGACTTGGTATGGGTCAGAGATTCGGCGTGTTCCAGCGGAGATTCGGCGTGAGTCGGCTATCGGCGGCGTCGCTCAGGAGGCTGGGAAGGTCAACACACCGTGAGAGGACCGATAAGCTCCGATAACGGGAAATCTCAGCTGCTGGTAAATTTCCTGGGAACTTGGCGGTGTAAAACGCAAACTTGCTCACTGGGCAAACATGGTCGAGACAACAGGTTTACAGGTCAAACATTGATCCATGACCTTGTGAACGCTATCTCAATACCAAACGTATTTCTTTTGCGGTTTGGCCGGCATTGTGATGCTTTATTTTAAAGCTAGGCAATAAGTGTAAAGAGGATTGAAGCGAAACAAAAGATTAGTAACACGAGCAAGTAAATGGGAAGTAAAATGAATTTGTATTGAGCCATGGCAGCAAAACAATTTGTTATGCTTATTAACTCTGCTCATGTGGCTGGGTTCTGGCTGTATACCAAACATTTTGCAATTAACAATTCACAATTGTGCAGTACAATAATTGAATGTAATTACGAGCGAGCGAGCGCAGCGAGCGAAGCGAGTCTTTTCAATATAACGGAAAAATCTCAGTATGAGCGGCCCGGCCCGGCCCGACCTGTAACGCTTCTGAGAGGCTTATATCTCAGCAACCGCTGGACCGAATGGCCTGCGGTCTTTTTTGCTGGGTAGCTCCATCCCTTCTACCCCGTAATTGACTACTTTTGATACATCTCAGTGACCGCCGTGGCACGTGCCACGTGAAAAGTCAAGGGTGTTCAAGCAGTTTTGCAAAAGTAATGATTTTGAGAGGCCCATATCTCAGCAGCGGCTTGAGCGATTGTCTTGCGGTAATTTTTATAGGGTAGCTGCATCCCTTCTACCAAAGGTCGGATACTCTTGATCTATGTGAGTGACCCCCACTGCACGTGCAAAATACAACAATAAGAGGTGCCAAATTTGTTACCATTTCAGTAACTCGGTAATTACTGGGGCGATTTCGCTGAAACTTGGCATACAGGTAGGCACCCACCAGGCAATGCATTCCCATGTGTTGCGGTTAGGGTGCTACTGCACGTGCGCACGTGCAGGGGGCGTTTCCAGATCTCGAGAACGGCTGGGCCGATTGCGCTCAAATTTGGTACACGGTTGGGGACCAGTTAGTAGGGTGCCGTGCAAAAGTCAGTTTGGACCCCGTTTGCACGTGCGCACGTGCAAAATGCCGCTTCCAGATCTCAGGAACGGCTGGGCCGATTGCGTTCAAATTTGGCACACCGCTAGCGACCGGTTAGAAGGGTGCTTTGCGCAAGCCCGTTGAAAGCACCTTCTCGCCCTTCCGCACGTGCAGGGCTCACTATCTCGCTCGCTCGTTCTTCGCCCAAAAGGCGTTTTACTGGTTTTACTTACTACCGAGACGGCAGAACAGTTAGGAAGTGAAACTGATTGCTACAGCTTGACGGATGTAATACTGTTTTGCCATACTATGCATACAATTAATAAAGTCATCAAAATGGTGCCAAATATAATAAAACTGTAAAATATCAAGATGTGCCAGATCTTAGCTCCAATCTGGCTCTGTGGAGACCTTATCATGGGGTGTGTGAATCAAATAACGTTATGTGGTCGCATCTCATCCAAATAGTCACTGAGTGGCGGGGAACATAATAGCTCACAGAAGATGCATTATCAAAACCGAAAATTGGCTAGAAACACGCATTTTTAAACTTCAGAAAATACCTTGGTACGTTTGTGGATAAAAGTAAAGAGACTTGACAAATAAATTTATCGGAAATAGGCAAATACACGCAATAAATGTATTTACGATCGTGGGCGATCCACACAGGGAAGTTCATATATATTTTAAGGCATTATGTACCTGGTTACGTGGACATAAATCATCTGTGGTGAAGAAACCACGTTTGAAATATGCATAAGTAGCTAATGATTGTGTTATTTTGTATATCAGACATACTCATGGGATCATAAACCGTGATGCTTTTTTGGCTTCTCATCCCATCAACATAAGCAAAATACATTTTATTCACTTTATGGTTTTAAATGTTCTCTGCGAACTGGACGGCAAATGTTACATGCATTTTGGCTTTTGTCAGGCATGAATTGAAAGTGAAACCGTATGGCATAATGGGAAAACTATAATAACAGTAACCATTGGGTCGATTAGCCATTAAACTATTTATTCCTTGCTCGTAAAATATCACATTCTAGATTCTAGTAACTCTAAATATAAACACTTTCTCATCCGGGTGATGATCACAATTGCTTTCATGCCCATGTCAGCGTATACCAAAGGGTTATGTCCAATACTGTGGATGTATTTGAAAAAAAAACCTGGCGTGTGCTATCTCCATTTGGTAGCTGATTATGTTTATTTCCATTCAATCGCAAACTATTTCCTAAAAAAAGATCCAACATTGCCATCGTCTCTAACCACTGCGTGTGCATTTCAACAATGCATCTTGATCATTTGTTTAATTAGACCCATATTTAATACATAGACCCATATTAGACCCATGTAGACCCATATTTAATACATAAAATGAAAATCTCAGACATACAAATAAATATTACCTAAATTTCAACAATGTATACATTGCACGGTTCGTAAAACATGAAACAAATTACAGGCTTTCATGGGATCGGCATAAATTTATTTTCAATCAATCCGAACAGTATTCAGATAGATCTCAGTAAAATTCTAAACGGGCTCAGCATACGCGCAAGTTCCTTTATTCTTTGCACACTGCACAATTGGCTTGAAACATTGCGTTGAACATTAAGAATTACGTCTCAGACCTTGCTGTTTGACATATTTATTTGGAATTCGTTCGATTTAGGTGTGAAGCGGTCGGAACCGACGCAGCCTTTCTCTGTCCGAGAGACATGGCTCTACCAAATAACACCTTTGGATAGAAATGGACGAGCTGACCAGTCCAGCTTACTGATCCGTTTTCAGCAGAAACATGCGACCCCGACCCAACACATAACCAGCGAAACATAGATTTTTATCACACGGCTGGATAGCAGTTCCGCTGCACCTTGAAATACCAGTTTAAGATGGAACTCAGATTCAGGCCGTGTTTCGTTGGTAGCGCCGTGATCACACACCTGCCAAAAAGCGACACGGGGAGGACTTGAAGCGAGTACTGAGAGCTGGACGCGGAGAGCCAAACCGATTCAACCTGAAGTCAAGTCACGACTAATCGAAACAACTCAAACCGAGAAGCAAACACTGAGCGGAGGACCACACGACTCCACATCGCCCACAGGACAGCGGACGCGTATCAGACGACGTCAGAGGTCACCAGGGGGGCGAACCACGGCAATCCCGGCCGGGCGGTCGGCAATCCCGGCCGGCAGGTCGGGGGCGCCGGCCCCAGTGCGGCGCCGGCCCGGATTTTCACTACCGCGTCGTCCGACCCGCCGGCGTCAGTGACGGAAATGCCGCCACTGACGCGGCGTCACCCGGTCAGATAGTGGTGTGTGTGTCACGACACACCACGCGCCGTGGGCGGACAAGGCTGCACGAGAGGGAATGCCAGCGATCTGTGGCGTGTGCTGGTCAATGGAGCTGGGTGGAGGCTCATGGGATGAGGTTGCCATGAATGACCATCGCAGCCTTGTGAGTCCTTGTCAAATTAATCCCTTTGGTTTTCAATCATTTGAGAAATGACAAGGCACTTCCGTTGGGAAGCACAATAATGCAAACAATTTGCATTGTTCGTCACACAATTGGAACGATAATGGATAAACACTAACGCCTAGGCACGCTCCAGACAGTCGCAGCAAGTATGAGACCTGCTACACATTTGATCCAAGCAGCGGCATCCTAACCCTTTCCAGGACGACCTAAGCCCCTCCACGACCCGTCTCACCCCCTTATCATCGATGCATATTCCTCACCTGGTTTGGGGTTGTTCCTCTTGACCTGCATCCACTTATATGTGGGCGCGGCGGGCGGCGGCGGCGCTCGCACCGCTCCGTGCAACACACTGTTCACCTGGCATTGTTCCCTCAGCTGTTCCATGTACCCATGCACGCCCATGTGCGTCCTGGCGCCATACGCCGCCGGGTCAATGTACGGATACGCCTGCGGGTGCAGCGCGGCCGCCGCCGCCGCCGCCGCCGCCGGGTCGTGCCCGCCGTACTCGTCGTGTTTGAAGTCGCCGCCGGCGGAGCGGTACGCCGGCTGGAGATGCACGGCCATGGCCGGATGGTAGCCGCCCTGAGCGGCCGCGGGGTACTCGTCTAGGTTTGTGTATGTTGCGGACGAGTCGTGATGGCTACCCGCCGTGCTGGCGGCCGGGTCCGCGTGCGCTACGGCCGGCGAGCGCGCGTCCACGGCGGAAGGCATCATGTAGGGGTTGGTGGCGGCCTCCTGGGCCACGGCTGGGTAGTAGACCATCTCGCCGGCGGCGCCGTACGCCTGAGGGTGCTGGTAGCCGGCCGTGGCCTCCACGTTGCACATGCCGTACACGCCCGAGTTCATGGCTGCGCGGCGGCTGGCGCGGACGCGGCTCACTCCCCGTGCACTGCTGCTTGCGGCCGAGAATCCCGATTCACCGTGGCGGCCGGCTGGCAGTCAATAAATATCAATAAATATCACCGTCGGGCGCACACGCTGCTGCAGTCACTCGCGCCCGATCGCAACAGCCATCACTCGCACCACTGCACCGCCGCGATAATCGCGTAATTATGCAGCCCGGCCGCCGCGCGATGTATCACCTTCATAAATGCACGGTCTGCCTGAACGGCACCCGCTCCGCGCCGGCCGCCGAGAGCCCGCTGTCACGTGATCCACCGTCAGCCAATGAGCGCGCCGCACCGGGCTGAGGTCCATCGGGGGGCGGAGTCAGTCGCGCCGGGCCGGCCCCGGCGCCATGTAAATTCGCCCGGCCGCCGCTCGGGCAGGCATGAATTTCCAGCCGGGCTAATAGGAGGCCGGGCCAGAGCCTGTTATGAAGGCGCTCGCGTCCGGCCGACGAAGGGAATCTGCAACGACAGAGTGGCGTAAACAGGGCGTGTGGGCGACGGGCGTGGGAGGTGGAGGAATCCCCCCGGGGATAGAGCATGACAGCGGGGCCGGTTCTCAGGGGAAGAGCTGCACAGCTGGGTCGTCTAAGAATGAACCAGAATCGATTCTGTGCTGAAAGAGGTCCAACAAGAGCGCTGGAGTTAACGAAGGGGTGTGAACTGAATGTAGTCACGATAGTAAATGCAAACATATCGCCACTCAATCATCACAGCTCAATAGTCTGTTTCACTTTCTGCTTCTCACCCTTCAACAATGAAACGATTCAACAATGAAACGATAGATGATGGGAGATAACAACGCCTATCAACGAAAAACGAGTCGACAAAGTGTTTGATCGACAGTCATGGCCCCACGCCACCGGTCGCTATAAGCCACCTCAATAAGTCGCCCGCTCTGCCATAAATTACGGAACGGCCTCTGACATCCGGCAGCCCGTGAGTTGCGGAATTGCGGAATGCCCCCTGCCGCCTGTGTGACATGACACGGGAGAACGGATGGGCCCGGGGCCGTTTTTAATAACCGAAAACGGAGGCTGGGTGCAAAGGTCGAGTCGTAACCGCCTGGCACGTGCCGGGCGAGGTATGGGGTAGGTTTGGCCAGCTGGCTGCGACGGATTTGTGAGCTGCTCCCCCCCGTCCGGTGTTGAAAAGTTGGTGGCGGTGGGGTGTGAATAGTTTTATATCAGTGAATGAAATCTAAATCATGATATCGTGAAGCGCTATGATTGACGGATGATGAAAGATGTGATACCGTTTTTAGACCCATCGATTCTATTCTCTGCTATAAGGCGCACTCCTAGCCTACAAAGTACAGGACCAGTCTCATTCCTACAAATATTGATTCGATATAACATTTTCAGTTTCAGCGCTATCAGACAAAGCAAAGGATAGGCAAGTGAAACAAGGCGGCAAATGAAACAAGGGCTTTGCACGTACGAAACACTGGGTAATTGTTACACTGGTACGCAATATGTTAGGTGATGTTAGTAACATATTGTGGTTACCCTATCTCAGTCGTTCGGAACACAAAAATAAAAGCTCACCAATTCTGTAACATTTCTGAGAACAAGCTCAAATTGGCAAAAAACACGTTGTTGATACAAAGGACTATCTGTACGTTGCCACTAAACAACGCCGAGAGCACCTGTCTCAACAAATACCTATCGCGTTTATGGTCCACCAGCGCTCACCTACCAACACAACTAACGCAACACCGGTATCCGATATACCCTCCACCAACAGTGCGGTGTTTATCACCCATATTACAAGCATTCTTCCCTATCCCTCATTTCCTCATTGCACCGTCCCCTTGTCCTCCTACCCCTCATCAAACCCTCCCCCGCCTCCCCAGAACACCTCCGCTCCTCTGCCCACCCGTGCCTGCCCCGCCGCGGCCATCTCCTCATTTATAACGACTCTAACAAGCGGCCAATGATGTGGCAACGAAAAACGTGATTAATGATGCTGCCGCCGCCGCCGCCCAAGAGTTGAGCCCGACACCGTGTTAATAGTCGGACCACACAGCGACTAAGGCGGCGACAAGATGGCGCTGGCGATGGTGGACGCTGGTCCTCTGCCGCCCCCGCCGCCACCGCCGCCGCCGCCGCCGCCGCCGCCGGCCGACCCCCGCGCGGAGACGAAAGGACTGTCTTTGTCCTGGCGCTCGGGACAGGCCGATGGAAGTCGCGGCGGGGAAGGGAGAGGGAGAGAGTGGGAGGGAAGAGCGAGGAGAGGGAGTGTGCGATAAACAACAGGCGTCTGCTGGAAGGTTTGCGGCGCTGTTGTGGTACACAGTGCCTGAGGGGCATCCCTGTGGTTTGAGGGTATGTGAGAAAGGCGGCTGTGGTTTATTCATGCCTGTGGTGTGACTGGGAAATTCACCCAGGCAAACGGTGGTGGTGGTATACTAGATTCTTACGCCAAGGGAAAAAGATTCCAAGTTTTGACACACAAATTGCATCTATATGCTATACATTCCAGAGTGATGCATGGGCGGGTAGGGGTGGGGCTACACCACGGAAATGTCTTTGTCCGTGCTTTGACGTGAGTGAATGTGTGGATGCTGTGAATGTTTAGAATAGTAACCGCGGACACGGATTCTGAGCAGTAATCGCAACGCAATTTGAGAATGTGGATCGCTCATGATTGTTCAACACAATACAATACAATTCCGGTTACCGCGAATGTAATGTCGCGGAGGGCTGAGGCGACAAAATTCATTGCGGCTCAACTAAGCCTTTCCGATGGAGATTGCCGCGAAAAGCCATTGCAATTGACCCTCAGCATAGTGAACGAACGTAACGTGCACATTGAATCTTCTATGATAACAAACCAATTTTCTGTTCGTCCACCGTCTTGTTCCTCTGGCTCTGCCAAAACCGACCCACACCACCACAGTTGTGTCTGCTTTGGCCCCCAGTTGTGTCGTTCTGTGGCCCCCAGTTGTGTCGTCCTTTGGCCCGCTCCGCTGTTGATGGGGCCGTCGGCGGCAATGTTTGCGCTCCCCGGGAGCCCACTGCGCCGAAAACCGGCCACAAAACCAGCGAATCAACGCTCCCGTCGATAATCGCTTTCAAGCCGCCGCCACCACCGCCGCCGCGGACGCTTTTCTATGGGTCGCGTTGGTGCGTCAGCGGCGGCGACGGCGGCGGCGGCGGGGAGACGCGGGGAGACGCGGGCAGAGACGCGGCGCCGGTGCGGACCGCGGCGCGGCATTCTCTAATGAGCGCGGTCATGATGGGCCGTAAGTAGGGTCAGAGACATTGATCGATCAGGATTGAGCACCCATTGATTTCATCGGGCCGACGGCAGGACGGTATGCGCGTGGCGCTCCCCGGCGCGCCTTCCCCCAACGTCCGTCCCTGTGGACCGGAGGGTCCCCGAGCCAGCCGACCGACTGGCGGGGAGTGGGGGTGGGGGCGAGGTGGGGGATGTGGTGCGGGGTGGACAGGGGTGGAATGAGGGTGGAAGCGGCGGCGACTCTTGGGAAAGAGTGAGTGGGATAGGACGGGGCGCGGATAGAAGGAACAGTGGACCGGAGGAGTGCGGTGAGGGTCAGTCGGTCAACCGTATCCGATTGGCACCTCTGACCGCGGCGTCGGGGGTCGGCGGGGTGTTTGAGGTGACCCGACGGTCCCCTTGTCAACTCTTCCCCTCCACCACCGCTGTCTTCTGACGCACGTGCGCAGAGTTGGCAACCGATCAAACATAGGCTACCGCCGCGGCGGTGGAGGCGGCGGCGGCGGCGGCGGCGGCGGCAGCAGCGTCTGAGCCCCCTTCTCCTGCCGCCGGCCCCCTCAGCCCGTCCGTCTGCCGGCCGCGGCGCAGCCGGGATCAAATTATGTGAGAATGGATGGGCGGCGGTGTGTCGGCGGTAGGAAGACGTCGGGAGCGACGAGGCCGCGCCGCCGCCGACGATGGCCCATCGGTCAGCCGGCCTGACAGAGCGGCTGCGCCGGGCTCAGGTGCCGGCGATGTGCCACTTCCTGCGGCCGGCTCGCTCCCCGGCGCCGCCCGCAGGGGCTCCGGGACCTCCCAGGGGTGCGTGGGACAGTAGGGGCCCTGAGGAATCACTGAGGAATCACTGGACCCCGGGCCCGTGGGCTTTTTGGGGCTCACCGGACCGTCGAGAAACTCGGTCATTTGATTTTTATGTGATTTGCCTGTTTAACATTGTACTGCCATTGCAAAACAATGTCTCATGTTTTTGTCTTATTCGTAATTCATAGTTGATCAAAACGCTCAGATATGGACCACTGAACTCAATTACCTACACAGGGCCAATGCGCGAGGCTCAACATCGATGTAGCTCATCATAAACCCATCTGCATTACCCGAATCGTCACGACGGTCGACTTCCGATCCGACCCCCTCTCGTCCGAGACGTTACGTGACCCCTCTCTCTGACAGAGCGAGTGTCGTACGAGACGGGAGTGACAGTGCGACCCGAGTCGACGGCTCAATCGCGCCCTGTTGTGACGCCAGTACCGGCTGTCAGGGCTGCCCTTGTGCCGGGACCGGCCTCGTCTCGTTAGCAAGTGTTGAGCGATATGGCATGTGGCGTGCGGTGCTGGCGGCTCCGGCGGAGCTAGGCGACGGGTCCGAAAATATTTGGTCAACTGCGTAAGATTCAGGGCCAATCGACCCCAAAAGTGGTCACCTGTATTGGGTGGTTTCGTCGACCAGGTGATATCGAAGTGGGACAGTGTGCATAAAGTTTCAAGATGACCATTATTTGCACCTTTTGCGGTATGCAAAAAGGAGGAAGGTATTTGTAGATGAAAAACTATGCACATTCTTTGTTACGTCATGGTTCAAAATGATCCACAAAACATGTCCAAATATCTACTGATAATGTTTAAGTGTCATTTAATGTTCTCGGGCATGGGTGTCTGCCTATCTTTTCGCATGATAGCGATTCTACTATCTTAGATGGTATAGGAACGGCCAGGCTTCTTTTATCCACGCATTGTCACACGCCCGACGCCCGTATCAGCCAGTCGCCTCTAATCCCTGCTGGGTCAACACAGAGCGCCACTAATTTGCTGAGTTTGTACAGGAGGCGCACCGGTCACCATGGGCCCACCGCGGTCGGCGTCATTATCGAAGGATTAGCGGCCACCTCAATCGGCCACCTCCGGGCGGGGCCTTTGATGCGCGGCGTACCTGGGCGACTTCAAAGGGTGCCGCCGGCGCGGCGCCGGTCACCGCGAGGTGGCGACCCGGTGGCGGCTTCCGTTTGTGGCTGCACACGGGAGGGGACACGTGATGGATCGGTGACACGAGGTGCCGTGCCAGCACAGGAGGAAGATTCACGGCGACTGTCGCTGGACGAGTCTGGAGTCTGGGTGATTCGGGTTTAGGACTCGGTCGTTGAAGCTAAGAAAAGTTCAAAGGCGGCATTTCGAAGTGAGCAAGTTTTCACTTCAGTATGAACAATGAGTGATATCAAAAAGCCA